CTCATTCCTTCTCATCTTGAAGCCTGACACCTGCTGTTTCTTCTGCCTGGAATGGCTTTTCACCAATTATTTGCTTGGTTCACTCCTTCTCATTCTTTACTATCACTTCAAATGTTACTTCCTCTGAGATATTTTCTTGACCATATTTAGGCCTGGTAGATTAGGTTCCCTTGTTAAGTGTTCTCCCAGGTCTATGTGCTTCCACATTTTTTTTTGTCATATTTACCTGGAATTAATACCTATTTCCCACCATATTGTAAGTGTTAAGAAGGCAGGCATCTTATGTGTCTTGTTCATCTCAGTATCCTGAATGCTTCCTACCATGCTTAATACTTAGAAAACACTTAACATGTAATTGTTGAGCAAATAAATCTAGTCCAGCCTCACTGTAGAGATGGAAATATGGAGTCCCTGACTGGCTTATTTAATTTAGCAAGTATCACATGATCTCACTCACATGGAATCTAGTGAACAAAATAAACTGATGAACAAAATAGATGCAGAGGCATGGAAGCATGGAACAGACTGACAGATCTCAGAGGAAAGGTAGGGGGGACATGAAGAGATTAACCAAAGAACTTATATGCATATATATGTATAACCCATGGACATAGACAATGGTGTGGTGAAGGCCTGGGGAGGGGGGCAGGTGCAGGGTGGAGGGAGTCAATGGGAGAAATAAAGGGAGACATCTGTAATACTTTCAAAAGTAGAGATAAATTTTAAAAAAGAAATATGGAGTTTCATAGAGGTAAAGGGATTTATTCAAAGTCACACAGAGAATCAGCGACAGAGAAAAGACTATAGCCCAGGTCTCCTGACTTTGATACAGTGCTCTTTTCCATACGTGCAGTTCCACTATAGTACTTATTTCTTGTACATACAAATGTATTAGTCTGGCTCCTGGACTAGGCTATAAATTCCTTGAGGGAAGAGATCACATTTTTTTATCCTCACCTGAGTGTATGTTTTTACTGATGTTAGAGAGATGAGAGAGAAACATTGATCAGTTGCTTCCCATAACCACCCTGACTTGGGATCGAACCTGCAACCTAGGTATGTATTCTGACCAGGAATTGAACTTGAAAACTTTTGATGTATGGGATGACACTCCAACAAACTTAGTCACCTGGCCAGGGTAAGGATCACATCTTATACCTGTGCTGTTTGATATGGTTGCTATTAGCTACATGTGGCAATTGAACACTGGAAACATGGCTAATCCAAATATTGGTTTACTGTAAGTATAAAATACACACCATACTTCAAAGCATGTAAAATATCTCATTAAAAATGTTTACATTGCTAAGAGGTTAAGATAACATTTTAGATGCATTGTGTTAAATAAAATATATTCTCAAAGTTACTTTCACCTATTTGTTTTTCTTTTTTCTTTTTTTTTTTTTTGATCTATCCATCTCTTTTTATTCACATAGGTTGACCATTGTTTTTGAACCAAATTCCAACTGAATTCAAAGGGAGAAGAGGGAAAATAAGGAAAGCTTTTGAGCATTCTTCCAAAAGAATTGAGAGATGACCAGAAATTCTATATATTTTGTTTTTCAAAAATTTAATGTGGCTGTATTACATTTCTATTAGATGTATATTACTGTTCTGTTATATATCTATTTTCCCCATTGGTGCCAAGCATAAAGCTTTGTAGACAGTAGGTACTCAACACACTCTTGTTGAATCTCTTGTTGAATCAAGTTGAGCTGTAGCTGGTAGGTTAATAGCTGCTAACTACCTTGGGGATATCACTGGGTTTGTGGGGAACCTCACAGTGAACCCTTTGTCTCCAGGCCCAGATGTACATGAAGTTCTTCAACCCGGGCCTGGGAGTGCCTATATATTGCATCAGCCTTTGGGTTTCCTTTTAGAGGAAGCCCCAGTGCAATCATATGAACAGCAATAACCAGAGTTGAGGTGGAGTATGTGGACACCAGCCTCTTGCACAGGAAGTGGTCTCAGCTTTGCAATTGTCCCTGGGGCCTTTTCTTTACCAACTTCTAAAAGGAGGTGGGGATAGGTAAGCAAGAAGATGAACTATGAGTTGCAGGGGGGCCTTCTAATTTCCTTCACAGAGGTGAGGTAAGCTAAGGAATATGGGGACCTTGGGCTAAGGAGTTCTTCATTTGCTTATGCACTGACACATTCATTTATTCAACTCAGAGTCCAGAGCAACTACTTTTTCCTGGCCCTGTGAAAAAAGAAAGGGAACAGGCACAGCCCCTACTTTGGGAAGTTTTTGTTCTCCTGTGAGAAACAGACACATAAGTTTGCAGAATTGAAATATTTTTAGTACTCAAAGTGGGCAAAACAAGGAGTAACTAATTTTGCTGAGAGAGGGATAGTCAGAGAAGGCTTTCCAGAGACAGTGAACATTGTTATTTTCTCTCTCCATTTTTTTAAGATCTAGCTAAAATCCACTTTTCTAAGAACTTTTCTAAATACCATCACCTTTCTGCCCTCTACCCTGGAAGAGTCACACTTTCCTTACCCACATTTTTATAGCACTTATACCTGTGTCAAATAACTTTCCTCATACTGTAGAAAGTCATAGTTCCTTGGGTGCATACTTGTGTCTCTCTCCCCTCCAGCCCAAGGATCCCTCAACGTGATGTGATGGCTAAGGCTCAGACAGGCTGTGCATAATTTTTAAAGGGAATTTAGTGAGTTACAGAACTGGGTCTAAAAACCACAGACTATAACCTAGGTCCTAAGACACAGGGTCTCTGACTCAAAATTTAGCATTCTTTTCATCCTAGCAATAAGTTAATAAATGAATGTATTTACAGTACGGGATCTCAGCATTACTTTCCTGAGCCCCCCATCCAATTTTTTTTTCTCACTCATCCCCCATTATAAGCATAGCCAATTCAGAGAACATCCAAAATGGGAGGACTTTTTGTATTTTGGATGGACAACAGACCTGAAAAAAAGTACCTTGTGCTATTGCTGCACACATGGCCCTTCCTAGCATGCTTTGTGTTTTAAGGTAAAGAAGAACTCCAAGGAACTCAATGCTCTTTGCACTAATTCAGGTCTTCTGCATAGGTGGCATGATTTGTAGGTCCTCCATGCTCCTAATGCGCTCTTTTTTTATGGTCCTACTATGGGGTCCAAAGTGGCCACTGTTAATTACTACTTTAGATGAAGACAATGTCTTCAGAGGTGTCTATTAAAAACACACACAGTAAAATACCTTAATTGATAGATGAGAAAATAAGAAAAAGTATGTAGATAAACTTAATCACTATGTTGTATGTAAGGAGAAGAGGTCCTTCCCTAAGAAAGTGCCCACAGGGCAATCCTGCTTCCACCCCAAGCTTTAGTCAGAAATCAAAAGGAAAAGGAACTGAATCTTTCTAGATGCAAGATCTGTGGAAACAGGTCATGAGGACTAAGCCACTACATTATTCTGAAAGAAAGAAGTTACTGCCAAGTAGTGTGAGTACAAGTAAATCCATATCCTAGGCTGTCCTTAGAGTCTCTAGGCCCTCACAGGAAAGCTCACTATGAGGGGTGGCAATGATGGAGCACTTTATAAAGAAACCAGGGAATGTTTGAGTTGAAGAGGTCACCAAGATCATCTAGTCCAACTTTTGATGGTTAAATGGAAAACCATGGCTAAGAGAGGGAACACAGTTAGCAGATCAGGAGCTCTGGCACAGAACTCCTGGTTCATGGAATACGGTCTTTTCTCTTGAACCTGGATTTATAAGACTATATGTAGCTTGGACAGATTATTCATTGGGGCTTAAGTATTTCTCTGGATCCTACTTTTGCTATATAGACTAATGACTGGGACTTGGGCACTGCAATAATTGAAGGTGATCCCAAATATATCCTGAAAGCATTGCAGTAATTGCCTTTCCCATCTGCCATGCCTTCAGGATTCATGACATAGAGCACTGCATAATGAGAATCAAGCACCTTCCTTACCATGAATGGGGACTGCCAAAATATTGCAAAATAAGATGCTAGGAAGCAATTTGCTTCCTTATCATATCTTTCATGTCTCCTATAAAGTCTGACAAGGGTTTGGCACCATCTTTTCCTTCTTAAAATTAACTACTTTTCTCCCCTCTCCTTATAGTCAATGTGGAGGAGTAGAAAAAGCCAAATATTTGGAGCCAGAAAGACCTGCATGTGGATCTCTTTTTCTACATTATTTCATAGTTTTTTATTCTTAAGGACATCTCTTTACTTCTATGTGCCTCAGCTTCCTCACCTATAAATAAGGATAATGAAAATATCATATTACAGGATTGTTGATTAAATGGGATAACAAATGGAAAGCACATACAAAGTTATTTAATACATATAAATTTCTTTATTTCCTTTTGCAAGGCTCTTGGATGCCAGAATGTGGCCTGTGGTCAGAGCTGTGCCAGTAGGGCCAGTTTCATAAGCATGAGAGTTATAAAGTTTCATAGGGCCCCATGCTTAAAAAGACCCCACATTTGGATTAATATTCTGCTGTTGCCATTTTGAAATACCTTATTTTTACAAGAAGCCCGTATTTTCATTTTGGACTGGACTTTGTCAATTATGCAGCTGTGCCAGGGGAGTATCTTTGCCAGGGGAAGTAAAAAGGGTATTTTGGGTTTAGGAGGCATTCTGAGAGTGAAAGAATACACAATTTGGAGTTAATAGAAATGGATTCAAATTCCAGTTATGCCACTAATTCTCTTTTTGTTATCAGACATTTTCTCTCATCCTTCAGAGGCTCAATTTCTCAATTTCAGGATTTCCTCAGTAGCTCTGGAGAATCTCCTTGGCCCCTAGGCAGAGGTAGGGCAGCCAGGGGCTTTTTTCTCTGACTCTCTGCAGCTCCGAGAGCCAGTATCTTTTGGAGGTTGCCTGGGAGTGGGTGGGGGCATGGTGGTGGGGATTGTTGCTGCACTAGCAGACCCTTTCACAACAGCACTGTTTTGTCATTTTGCACCCAGATTTCCGTTGGCTAACCTCAGCCTTATCTTCCTCATTTCTGTTTCCTCTTGAAGACACCAAGGGCCCTTCAAAACACATGATGTTCCTGCTCACAGCATAAAGCCCAGTTCCCTTTGGCCTCTGCAGGTTGGCTCATCACCAGGGAACCTGTGCCTCCTCTGAGACTAAAGCACCACTCCAGTAACAGGTATAGTATTCATTTTTCCTCTTTGTTTGGATTCCCAAGCTAGAAGTGTGTTCATGGCTAGCAAAGATTGCTTAGACCTGCCCACCACATTCTCCTTGAACCTTCCTCAGGGATCTTGGGTTAAGGGTGGGGGAGAAGGTTACCATCAGCCTTTTATTCTGGAGCTTCTACTGTGAGAAGGGAGAATAATATTTCCTCCCCAAATATGCTATTTAGGAGATAAACACATGGAAGTGGAATGTTTTCTGGAATCAGGAGTCAATATATTTGAGTAACAGTCCTGGTTGTGCCATTTACCCATTGTGTAGTTTTAAGCAAGTCCTTTCTACATTATATGACTCACTTTTTTGCTTATTCTGCAAAGAAGAGGAGCGGGGGAGGATGAGGTAGATTTTGTCTGGAGACATTTTTAGTTTTTATATCCTGTATTTTGATGGTTGTAAGCCCTCTGTTGAGAAAGGTCATGAAAGTAATGCTGAGTAAATATCTCTGGGTGAGGCTGAACAGGGTGTTGAACTGTGTCTGAAAGAAATCCAGACTGCTCCTAGTATGAGAAGGCCCAGCTGAGTCAGTTTCATGGCAGGTCCTGCTGCTTGTAGTGTTAGCCCTTCCAGAGTAGAGCAGAGGACAAATGATGACATTTTATACAGCATGACGGATCATGAGAAGACCTTTGGAATTTCTCAATATTGCTTCATGTAAATCTCCACCTCTTCTCCCTATGAGTCTGGCCAGCCTTTCTCAACTGAACCTGCTTTTCTTGTATACACTCTATTGGAAAGGCATGCATTAGAACATCAAGAGTGGAAATAATACTAATTTCAGTTCAGCCACCAACCCTTTCCATTCATATGGGGGCAATATGGTTTTTAAGGCTCTTTAACTTCTAGTGTACTATGAAGGAATCTTTACCACCCTTATATCTTTTTTCCTTTTTTATGAACTCAGATAAGATGTTCAGGAGGCTGTGGACACCCCCAGTTTATCCAGGTCTTCTCACTGGGGCTGTAGCCACAGAGGGTGATGATAGATGAAATCACAAGTTGTGTCTTCTCTGCCACCCTGAATGCACATTTTATTAATCAGCTTCCTTGGCTGGCCTCCACACACAGGTCCAAGGACTGAGCCAACGTACTAGTGGACTAATTTTTGGGAGGCTCTGGAAAGCTCATTGAACACTTTCCTCACAAATCTACCAGGTAAGTCTTTTTATCCACATTTCTTGAGAAGAAATCTGAGGCCCAAAGAAAGACTTTCTCAATGCCATAATTGGCTAGTTGGTGCCCAAAGCAGCATTAGAATCCAAGATTGCCTGACTCTTTTCACTCTACCATACTCTTGACAATGATTTTTGTTTTGGCTAAAAGAGCCACATTTCTGGATGGCTTGGGATGGATTGGGTAGGTAGAGAGAAAAATGAAGGAGTGAGAAATACATTTTAAATTTTGAGGTTTGAAGTCACTCCAAGATCATAAATTAGAGGGACATATCACCCCCTTACCAACATACATTCAATTAAGAGTTAAGATAATAAAATAAAAAAAAACTTACTTTTTTCTACCTGAAAGACAAGTCATCTGCCTAGGCCTCATGGGGCAGTTTTCTACTGTGCCATTTTTCATGTCAATATTCATTATAGGCCAACTACTTTCTAACAGATAAACTGCCACTTCTGGGAAGGGGGTGAATTTGACACAAACATCTTGGAATGTTTAACAACAGGATTTAGGTGTTGCCAAGGGAATTCTTTCAGAAATTCCAGGCCTGACAATGATCCTGGCAGCTTCCTTGTTCCCCAGATGGCTATGGGTTGAAAGATTCCAATGTCTCACTGCCAAGACTGCTGCCTGTCTTTTGGCTTCCTTGATGATGTGTCTCCCTTTTCCCAGAGAGATAAGTACAGCAAAAAGGTAAGAGAACTGATGAGAAACGTTGGAAGGCACAATGGGTTAATATATGACACAACTCCGAACTGTGAGCAACTTATACGACCTTTAGCAACTTTATTCCTCAACATGAGCCTTCATTTCCTCATTTATAACATGAGTAGGTGAGACTAGATGCTATTTCTTTTATAGCCGCCATTCTTGAGTCCCGATGGTACAAGGACCCATTGTTAGGTAAGGCTGAGGTTATCAGAAATTTCTATTTCATTTGTCTTGACTCTGTTAAATCAATTGTCACTAGCCCTTGATTTCCTTCTGGCAGCACAAACACCATTGTCTTTGAGCATTTGTTGTGTATCAAATAATGAGCTAAGAACTTTATGTACATTATCTCATTTCATTCTCACTATAATTTATTAGGTTACTATATTTATACCTATTTTGGGGATGTGAAAAGCTGGAGCAAAAAGAGATGAAATGATTTATCCAAAAATTTCCAGCTAATTAATGGCAGAACCAGGATTTAAGCCCATGTTCAGCCTCAATTCTTAAGTTTATATCCACAATACTATAAAACATTATCTGGGAGATTTAGGAAGGAAAGGGTCCTGGTCCCTTCTTGAGGTTAGGAAGGCAAGATGTTAATGAAATTGTTCTCCCTATGCTACATAGAAGATCCCACTAAAGCTTGAGACCCTTAAAATGTCATAGCTATAAGACAGGCCTGAGGAATCCCCAGCTGAGCACTGAGGTCTCACCTGCAGTCTCAACTAGGAGTTCCCTACCTACCTGCAGTGATCCTCTTTTGATTAGGAGCCTTATGCCTATTTTGCTCACTTCCCTTATTATGGTGCTTTGTTTAGTCCATAGAGCCTGTGTAGTTTCCCTGGAGGCCACGGTGTGACTCTTTTCTC